TAAACCCTCGTAAACCCTAAACCCTAAAAGCTGAGTTTCCGGGGGAAGGGGGTGTTTAGGGTTTATCGAGGGAAACCAGAGACACGCTTGCATGCTATACACTAAGCTGCGAATAATATATTTTTATTTTTTTTTTTAGGGTTTTAGGGTTTAGGGTTTAGCGTTTTAGGGTTTAGGGTTTAGGGTTTAGAGCTTGCCTGGGACACCCCAAGAGCATAACAAACCCTCCGCATTTTTCTATCCTTTCTCTTTCTGATGGCCGCGTGGGTTTGTGGTCTTCTGTTAGCTGCACATAGCTGCTGCTGCTGCTGCTGCTGCTGCTGCTGCTGTTGCTGCTGCTGCTGCTGCTGCTGCTGCTGGGGTTCAAAACGAGGATGGCGCGGCTGTCGCCGACGTGTGCAGCAAACAATTCAGCTGTTCCGTGTTCTGCTGCTGCTGCTGCTGCTGCTGCTGCTGCTGCTGCTGCAGCAGCCTCTTCTGCCTCCTTCTGCTGCTGCTGCTGCTGCTGTTTCTGCTGCTGCTGCTGCTGCTTCTGGTTCGACTTTAGCTGCCGCCTGTATTCACTATAAGTCATACTTTCTCCTGGGTTTACCCTGCTGCTGCTGCTGCTGCTGCTGCTGCTGCTGTTGCTGCTGCTACTGGAAGCAGCAGCTTGCTGCTGCTGCTTCTGCTGCTGCTGCTGCTGCTGCTGCTGCTTGTGTTTATGTTTCTTTCTAGCTGGGGGGCTCCACCGCAGCAGCAGCAGCAGCGCGGTGCTGCCGTCCTGTGCATGCGGGTACCGCTTCATATAGTCGTTATCTATCTGTAGAAAAGAATCAGTGAGAGCTGCTTCTACCTTTTTTGCTGCTGCTGCTGCTGCTGCTGCTGCTCGTGTTGGTGCTGCTGCTGCTGCTGCTGCTGCTGCTGAGTCAGTGGTGGGTGCTGCTGGAATGATGCTCTCACTTTCGCTGCTGCTGCTGCTGCTGCTGTTGCTGCTGCTGCTGCTGCGATGATGACCACGACG